GATTGGCGGAAATCCAACGTGTTCATCCGTGCGGAGTGAATGCCGGGTCATTAACGCGTTTAAAAGTCCTCGAAATTTTCGAGTTCCATTGATACTCGTCTTCCGGCACGGGACGGGATTCCCGAAATGTTCATCGCCCGATTGTGTTTTTCTATCTCCGTGAAAATTCATTCCCGTTGCCTCGCCGAATTTTTTATTCCTTTTCCGCCAGCATAATTAGAATTTCAGTTTGTCGTTTATAATGTCGCGTCGACGGTGCTTTACTTATTAACCCGATCGTTTCCTTAGAACTGGCTCGACATTTCCATCTTCAAAACATCGTTTCGCCGTGAATATTAACGCCAACCCTCTATCCTTTCTCTTCTTCGTCGCCCGTCGATCTTCAACTGGGTCACTTCAGCGAGAAACAGCCGTCCACGACGGTGTCGTTTGTATAGCAGTTTAATTAAGTAAAGCTTTAAGTCAGATATCTGCTTTTTCCGACTAATGAAAAATATAAATTATACTGCTTTATTACGAATGAACTGGGAGAGAGAGAGAGAGGACACTTTTACTTGTAACGAGCGCATTAAGAGTTGCAATCGTTCGCGCATCGTTCGTCTTAATACCTTACTAATCCGAAAATGAGACTCGCAGCTTGCTTTCTGACCTGTCCTCTTTCATTACTGATTGCAATAACGTTTCCTTTCAACCAAATTCATCCACTTCTGGTTGCTTGTATAAATTGTCGAGGAAAGTTAATCAAGACTCGATGTTCAAAACAAAACTTTCAAAATTTATACATTTTATGATAAAATGATAAACGTTTCTGTAATTGGACCTTAGAGAAATTTCAGTGGAAACGAAATGCGCTGGTCAGACTTATTCGAAAGCGAACGATTCAACGTTTGCTCACGTTGCACGGCAAATCGTTCGATTCTATGAAAATTCTGATTGCCCCTGAGCTTTCTCGAGGCCTTTCCCGGGGAGATGCAGGATTTTTTCGCGGAATTTTTATATTGAAATCGAACGCATTCGTGCAAACTTTACAACTTCTCCGGTAACGATGGCAAGTGCTGCCCTTTGGTCAACGTTCCGTGTATTTCCCAGCGGAGCTATGGGCTTTCATCGTTTCATCAAATCGGCAAGTCGAGGTAAATCGAAAACGACCGGAACTTGCGATAACAAAATTCACGTCAAATATAAATGCGTAGGATTATAGCAAATCGTTGGTAATAAAAGAAGTAAAATTGCTGCTGTGTAAATTTTAAAAATTCTGTATTTTCTGTATTTTCGTTGCTTTTGAAAAAAATTTGATTTATTTAGTTATCGAAGTTTCATTTCTTTCAAATATCCATCATGATTTGGCTACTGAGTGAAAGTAACTTTTCCATCGCGATGAAAGCTCGTAATCGTCTCAAACGGGGCTGGTGAGTCGGCGAAACGCGAAATCCTCCGTGGAAAATTCTACTTCGAATTCCAGAACCGAGCGAGATTTTTTCCATCAACAAAATTCTGCTGTTTTCGATTCGATAACCATGTTTGCCCGAGTTTGCTGTAACTGTGAAATGCGATTACACAAACGTGCAAGACATGGTTGAATAAAGGAGCCCCACTCGAATCGATACGTGAAACTATGTTGACTTTTTAATAACAAAGTTTCTTCTTCCTAAGGCCTAGAGATAAACTACATAGATGGTATCCTGTCGGAAGAATCGGTAAATCCTTGCTTAACGACGAACTACTTGGCAGACCTTAAAGTTTCCAGCACTTTTTCCTTTGTTACACGCTTTCTTCGAGTCCGAAGAAATCTTGCTTACCGTCCCCTTTTTCCGCTCCCCGGCTCCCTCAGGTAATCCATAGTACATTAGCCACGACTCCAAAAGTAACGAGCTCTACGGTTTTTCTGTCGCTTTTGCAGTGGTTAGATTGCCTTAATATCGAGGCGTCGCGTCGTTTTGTCTATTTAGGTCATGAATGTAAAATGAAACGAGTCGAGAAGACAATTGCCGCGATGATTGGCTGGCATTTTATTTCTTTCGATAATCAAACAGCAGGTGTCAACACGGTATTAGTGATTAATCATTCGCTACTTCTTTATTTCATTTAGTATCCTAGTAAAAAATTTCTATGCCCTGTGTTACCTTTTTGCTTGACCTACGAAAATAAGATGGTTTTATTCAACCCATTCTCTCATGGGACCCATCAAAGAGTTAGACTCTGCTGATCGAGCCTCGTAAATCTTTCTTCACGCAAGATAAACCTGTCAGGTTCCCTGTCAGAATTCATTAACTCGTTACTTTTTCTACGTCTCGTCTTTATTTTCCCCTCTCCTTTCTACGAGGTCGGACAGGTTCATTTCACGATCTCGCGAAAGTCGCGAAAAACCGTCCCGCGATAACACAGTCTGCTCTGACCGTCGACGCGTAAAGGATCCCGCGGGATCGTTGAAGAAAAAAGCCGGTTAAAGAAACTGGCAAGTCGGAAAGAGCCGGTGGAAAAAAGGCCAGACGACCAGGAGGAACGGAACGGAATAAAATTTGCATCCGAAAATCCTTCGTCTCCTTTCGGGTATTCTTAGTCTGTTTCCCTTCTGTCTGCTCCGAGCATCGGCTCGTCTACATACGACGTAATGACGGTGCTCGACATCCTGTGAACGGAAGAGCGAAAGTCCATTGGACGGAAGTTGGCCTCGCTTCCGTATGGCAGAGTCTGTTTCGTGTCCTGCAGGCTTGTTTGCCTTGCACGGGCTATCGAACCGGCACAAAAGCTTCGGTGTCTACTCGTTGGTCCACCTTGTCGATTCGCTCCACGGTTCTTCTTCCTGTCCTTTTTCCCTTGCTCCTTGGGTTACGGTCGTTGAGGCTTTTATGGGTGGATTAACCTTTGAACAACGTAATCATGTATCAATTAAAATTAGGAGTTTTCTAAACGAAAAACTTTTATAATACATATTGGAAAAATTAATTCGAATTGATAATTCTCCCTTATTATAGTGGTCATTTTTCAACCCCTCTCTGGTTAAATTCAACTTTTGAATGAAAAATACAGAAAGAGGTTGCTTACTTATTTGGTAACCTAATAGCTGATTTAAATGTCTATTGCTTCGTCTAGTTTTTCAAGGAGAAACTAAAAACTGTTAATTAAATAGACCCTACTTGTGGATAAAGTTCAGCGTTCACCAGGTTAAAGAGAAAAGTTTTTTTGGTACTCATGAACGAGTTCTTACCAGAAAGTGCTTGTTACCAGAATTGCAGAGGAAGTTGCTCACAATTCCGCTTACAATCTTACGGTATTTTGCTGAAAAGTAGTCCGAACAATATTGTCTCAAGCATAATTTAAATCTTCTTAAACATCAAGAAAGCTTAAAACAAATGTAGTTAATAAGTTAGCTTCATCGGTTATCGCGTTGAAAATTTAATTTAACTGATCCTTCCTCAAATAACGATGTTGTTCTAATTTTATTTTCATTCTCATTTATTCTCAGTATTATTTGTAATTATTATTTTATCACTCTCTGTGAGAAACAATGTCGATGGAACTTGGCTCGTTTAACGCGTCGCTGCTCATCCAAAATTTACTTGAACAGTGTATCGTAGAAAATTTATTTTAACTGCTCGTTTACCGTTCTTTTTCCTATAGATTTATAAATCGTTGATAGGAAACACGATGTCAGAGAATTATTTAAAATTATCGTCGGTTAAAATATTGAATAATTTCAGTTTTCATTGATATAGCCTGAACATTTTTTATTTTGCTTTCGTTTTAATCTTCGGGGTTTATAAAAGAATGATATAAGTCATTTTCTATTCGCTATTCAAAATGTCCAACCGCAAAGTTCCACTATAGGTTTCCATACATGCATTCCGTCATATCTTACAAGCTCGATACAGGGCGTAACACTTGTTTCTGACGGCTTTACGAGCCTCTTCGTGCTCTATAGCTATATATCAAACGTTACATGGACTCGGTTTCGCATTCTTGAAACGTTACACGAAAAACAGAGACAGGCTCCTAGTTGGATAACTCTCTCAGCCTTGGTATTATGTGATTCAAGCAGTGGACATTTCTTTAAAACATCACAAATACTTGAAAAAAGAAAAGTAAAATGCAATACTTTTGTTAGTATTTATCTGCTCTAAAACAGAGACACATATAAATAACAAAAATCACAAGAAACATCTTTAAGGAGTCTTAATAAAATATAACACATTATTATAGTGGAAGAAAACTTTATTTTATTACAAAAAAATTTTTTTTTAAATTAATTTATATATAATAACATCATAAAAATACATGGCGCACTATGGTAAACTTTCTAAGGGAATTATATCAGCGCGTCTGACCATTGACGCAGCTGTACTACTTAAAACCGAGTATCCATAAATAGGTCTCATTCAATTAGCGCGAGCGAATCCTGCGTTGCATAAACTCGACCTTAATACATCACATCCCGTTTTAATGCTGCTACAATGTCGGTAGATTAAAGTCGTACCGTTACTAATTATTTCTAACCCTTAGACTACAGCCGGATTGTTTAGAGCAGCATCCCTCGCGCGTGTACGAGCGTTCTTGCCGCTCCGGTACGTACATAGTTGTACGCTGCCCGGGAACTTCCTACATGCTACGACGCGGTCGGAATAGCTAGGAGTTTCAAACGAATCCCGGATGCTTGCTACACTAATCTATAGCAAAGGGGATGGGGTTAGGAACGAGGAAAATCTAAGGGTATCGGTAGCATTTAAATTCAATATGAATAGGGAAATCTTTCACTTTAAAATCATTGATAGAAATTAAGAATTCTTTATCTTTTTTTAATATTAATTAATCCTGGATGCGAATGCAAAGATAATATAGTAGCAACTTAGGTTAATATTTGAAGTTATAAATTTTCATTTCACTCCGTGTCTAATTCGCATTAGTGCCGTTCCAATTGGCGACGGTAACCCAATTTGGGCAATCTATTAGCGACATTTCTGGAAACGTCTACAGAGTATTAACGTGGATTACTCTATGCGCAGGATATCGGCGAGAACACTCACCACCTTTCGGCCATCACGATGCCAGGAACGTGCTCGATGACCGATGTGGTCAGGATCGTCGACAGTTAGTGATGAGGAGGAGCGGCTTGTCGGCGTGCCGATGGCTCAGGTCACCAGCAACATGCCAGTTCTCGAACCCAGACCAGACCCGGCTCCTCTTCGAGCACTTCTAATCGGTGTTTTCCTTCTCCTCATCCTGCCACGGTGTCACTGTTTCGACTTAGGTGAGTCAAATCAGATATCATTTATGTAATTACGTGAGATTCCTACATTTTCGAAGATCATCTTCTTACCTTATAACGCGTTGATTGATACGGTGGTCATTAGCGATCATGCAAATTAAGATTAATCATACGATAAAGTTGATACACGCAAATTCAAAAAGAATTATTTCAAATAGAATTAACACGTTGACTGCCACGGTACTTTTCAGGATTCCAGTGTAAAAAGCCAATTTAATTTATTCATATTATATTATTAAAAACTCCTATTATGATACATAGTAATCATTAAAAAGCATATAGAACGTGTTTTTTTGAAAAAAAAGGATCTTGCGAATTATCCCGTAATTGGCTTGTATTATTATATTTTCTGTTCATTTATTAATAAATTTTCTGTTCATGTAAGCCCATAATGATTTTTTGTTCTCTTCCTTGAGGCTATCTATTCATATATACACTGATAGACTACGAATTTCATCGTAGCTGCACAAATATGGCAAGTAAACAAACTACGAGATAACTCGTAGTTGGCGTTCTAGGCAATAACGCAAACTGCGAGTTATCTCGTAGTTGGCAGTCAACGTGTTAATATCACTGTATATTTATCGCTGTTAAAACGAAATGTCCGAGGACTTTCATGGTCCCAAGCTTTGTCACCGGACATACGATCCGGTCTCTGTTCATAAAGGAGGAGAAAAAGTTATTGGTATCACAAGTGGATGAAAGATTCGCCTCATAAGTCATCGAGGTTGGCGTCGTTTAGCAGCAGGTGCAAGAACGCGAGGGCGAGCGTTAAAGCGTTTCGACTGGCAGGAAGTGTAGCGACACACACGGTTCCGTATCCGGTGCAGTCTGTCGTAAGAAACGTATACCCGGTGTCGTTTAACTCACGGTTCAGCCGTGCTCATTTCGTCGAATGAAGGAGAACGGGGCGAAACGAAGGGAAAATATTGTTCCATTTGTGCGGCGACTATTCCGAGAAAATGAATTTACCTTAGTTTTGTCTTTTCCCCGTTGCCATTCGCCGTAATATCGTCGGATGCTGAAGCGGGGAAAAATTATTCTGAAATCTTTTCCTTCCGTTTTGTTCTCGCTGTGTCTACACACGTACAAACAAAAAGTGTGAAGTGCAAGACGAGTACACCTATTCCGGAAATTCCACACGGATTTTCTTTTTTCTTGATACGATGCAAGTGGAAGCAAGCGCGGAATAAGCACCCTCTGTGAAAGTCCGGCTGTAAAATTTCAATTTTTTTCTACTGTACGCCGCGCCGGCACAAATACGATGGAACGAAGTGGTACTTTGGCTACGCTGATATGCAACTACTTTGGCGAAAAATTTTATTGATTTAGCAAATTTTCTGACAATTTGGAGAATTTAGAATTATTTAATTCGGGAGATTATTTAATTAAAATGCTGAGACACCTTGTATATAATACAAAAAAATTAAAATACAAAACTGGAGAGTATATAATTTTACTCTACAAAAACGCTGCATAGAAACAGCGTCAGTTTCAAATTATCAGTGCTTGGAAGGAAAGGTTCTTTACAAAAAATATAATTAAAAAATTAATTCAACTGCTTAAGAATTTCTAAATGTAGCAGGAAATCTAAACTGTCTTACAATTAAATTATATAATCGTTAAAACTATGGTAGCTGATGTAATTTTAAGCAGTTAAAAAAGAAAAGAGAAGACTGACAATGAGTAAAATTTATTAATGAGTGTTTTTGAAACACGAGCAGCATTTGCTGTTCCTTTCTCAAAGTATCAAGCGGAAAATCTTGTTTTAAGTAGGATCCAAGTATTTTGCTGTAATTACCTGCATCTTTTCTCGTTCTTATTCCTGTTTACTTTGCGTTAACGAGCAATGGCGAATCCGGCTATTGTTTGTGGAGGATGCTGAGAAATTCTGAGCATGAAGTTTACGAAACGGGAGGACGGATTAAATGCAAGACAGCTGTAATTCGAAAATGCATTGTGTCGTTGGTATTAAATTCTCCGTAGAAGGGCGGCATTTTCGAACAACGAAGGATGGATAATTAGAAATGTTTAAATTGTAATTTAAATTGTAATAAAAATTAGTAGCGACATCTTGGAGCTTCGATCTCGTGCTCGAAAGGTGCGAATCAATCGAGCGTACGGTACATATAATTAAGTTTAAACCGTTCGAGCAATTATACGAAGATCCTCTCTAACCTGAATTGCTTGCTACGCTATCCTGTTGTACGGCTGAATAAACTCGCGCGTTGGGTGCAAGTGACAAGCGTTTAAGATACCTCGAAGAGATTGAGTGGTCGTTTAGAACACGAGATTCAACTCCAAACGTGCTTCTGAATGGATTCTAGAAATGCAGCAACGAAGCCACCGTACCTCATTATTTTACTAATCACAACACCATTGAAAAATTCATTTAATTCATTTTCAAGTAATTTAATCGTTCAAATTACATCATTTTTCTACACTTTCTCTGGTGAAATTCAAGCAATTTTTCGTGTACATTCTAAAATAGAGGATTCATTTTCGACGAGGAAAAGAAAAAGAAGGAAACCATAGAAATGGAACGACTAAACGCGATAAATTAACTGGCACAACGTGTTTCATGCGAGCATAGAAGTTGCACCGGTGGCTCAGAGTTGGAAACTCTAAGCACACTGACATAATTGCTCAGCAGAATAAAACGTTCTCCACGCGACACGTTCGCCATTGTTCCCGTTTGCCAATAATATGCAACACGGCTGTCTGTGAGGCGCGAGTGAACCGTACTTCGTCAGATAGGCACGGCCTAGTTCCCTTTGCAATTCAATCCTTAGAACTGTCGCCATCCTGTAACTTCGATCGCGTTTCCACGAGACCGGCAACAACCGCGTCCCTCTTTATACAGCATCCATTTTACTGGGCCAAACTCCGACCGAGATGAGCCGCGTCGTAATTATCGAACCTTCCAACACGACCGATTCGTTAAACACGACGTTGGCCAAAAATGGCACCCGACCGAGCCAACTTCGGTCATCGTCAGATGACACCACCATCGTGCAACGATGGTCCGTCGATTGGACAAATTGGGAATCGTGGATCCACGAATTTGTTGTCCCAAATATTCCGTTCGGTTTCCACACATTTTTCAATTAAACTCTGCGTACAGTACGCATCGATTCCATGAATTGAACTTTGATCGATGTTTCGACGATTGCAATCGATGGAACTGGTTCAACGAGAGATACCAAAAATGGTAATTTATGATCTCAACGTACTCGTTTCCATTGGGATTAAATTTTGTTATATTTCTAAAAACTTGATATAATTTGAAATGAGTTTTTTTTCGAATGGGTTAATTCAGGTTCGAAGTGAACTTTGAAAGCGTGTGTTTATCCGAGAACGTTCGTGTACCTGGAAGTGAATAGTTGCGAAAAACCGGGTCTGCGGGAGTTGGATTTCAATTAAGGGGAAAGTAATTATTAGTTGGAGAGGTATTTTAAGTTAACATCGAGGTTAGGTTAACGAGAACTGTGTGGATTTATTGTTCGTAGTGGGCCGGTGTTAAGCGTTTATCGAAAGCAGTTCGGTCGAATTGTGTTTTCGGAATGATTGTTGACCTCGAGGAACTTCAAACAATCTCGCTTGAAATTGTCCTAAACAGAGCTCATCGAACGAGTCTCGTACTCTCCTGTTAACTATTTTGTGACATCAACTTATACGCCTGGGAACGTTTAATCATACCTTGAAATTTATATATTAAACGTGTTCCTTTTCCTTTCGTCCCATTTAATTGTCGAGTTTCTAAGAAAATTGAGAAGTCGCAATATCGTTGGAAGAAATTTTATGTTAATTTCACGATTGTTGCGCAATCTCCTTTCATTAAAAATGATAAATTAACTTTTCATTGTTCAGAAGGAGCAATAATTAAACTTCGTTTCGCTTGCATTTAGGGCAAAATGCTATTGCAGAAATCAGGTAATTTTGTACATTACGACGAGGTAATTGTTAAGCTTTTGCATTTTGAATTCACCGCTTCTGTAAAGGAAAAATTAAATAAGATAAATTCAGATTTCGAATCTAACGCAAAAGGCTGGGATTAATCTAAAGTAAATCCCATGATCCTCGGATTGAACGTTAAGGTATATAATGCGATATGTGCGAAAACAATAAGCACGTTTGAATCAAGACAAATTTGGCTGGCAGTAGCTTACACGAAATTGCGATTCATGCAGGAAGTCGGAAAACCAGTCTGTCTATCCTGTATGTACAGAAGAGGGTGTACAAAACGTACACATACAACAGGGATGGAAGGGGGCTGCATGGAGGTTTGTAGAATTTAGGAGATGTAAGAAGCGGCTGCGAAGTTTCCCTGTTGTAACACCGATTCACCAACACGTTCCAGGAAGAAACTACATTACTAGTTTGTATGACAATCGCAGTCAGTAGAATATAAACTCAACTCTGGCGCGACAGCTAATTCGAAGCGACCCACATCTTGCACTTTGAAAATTTTGTCAAGTAGCTTACGAAACAACAACTTCCCTCGCCTTCGGTGCTATTACTCTCGGATCGTTCTAACAATTTTGTGTCTACTTTAAACACGGATAAAAATTATACATTAAAATCGCGAAACATTAATGGAATAAATCTAAATCCTCGAATAGCGCGATGAATTATTTTTCACAACCAGAAGAGAGGATCTCGCGAGAGGAAGATATCAATACATTCAAATGAACGAAGTTTATCCTTCTAATGGAGGACAGTTGAGATCTAGAGGACGGTTATAAATACAAGCGAAGTTTTGTCCCTTATAATGCCACTTGGTGGGAACCATAGCTGGCACGGTAGGTCTCCTCAGCTTCTCCGGACGCTGGTTAATCCCACGTCCGCTGCATTCTGCAGTTTTGAAACTTTCCAACGTAACTGCAGTACCGTGGCTTAAGTGTAGCGACGTGGCGTGGCCTGCATCGTGACCCGCACTATGTCACTATGGATTCGATAATTTATCGTACTTGCTTCTACTCAGTTTCCTATACAACTGTGTACCAACGCTAACTTCCTTTTTCATCGTCTAAGAATATAATTACACAAGGAAGAAAAAGGTCAGCGCGAAAGTGCAGTTAACGCTTTGCTGGATATTTATGGTCGTTTATGGTTGTGTTTCACCTGCACCGATATTTTCACTTGGTTCGTTTGCCGTGGCCATCGGGTAACAACGGGAAACTTTTACGACGGTAAAAGAATGAGGAAAAAAGCTCGATGGTGGTTCACCATTGGACCTCGATTGGGTCTCTGGTGTGTACATACACTGGGAAACGATGTCACGTGCCAGCGACGACTTTTGTTCCAAAAGATTTCGCTGGAGAATTTTCACGTGATCGTAACCATACTGTTACGAACATACAGTCAGTTATATTTTGCGACAACTTTACTTTTTCTCCTTCCAAAGAAATTTCGAATTTCATCTTCGTATAATTGTATAATACAAGTTACTATAAATTAATTACGTAGTTGTTGAGCATGGCAAGAAAGTTTCAAGTGATAAATTGAATAATCATGCCCTCCTCATGGTACTCCTTGTTGCATGTCTGACTATGTACAGACTTTTTCACTGCCCCAGTCAACGTGTTGTATAATAGTAAACTCGATGCACAAAATTATTAATATATTATAGTGAATTACACAATATTATGGAATGAGCTTTTATATCAATACACTGTATGAAATCTGGAACGAATAACAAATGACAGAATGGAGGTCGATCGACAGCTATTTATTTCGCCGTCCATCAATTTTTAATTGCCTCGTTAAATATCGAGACACTCGGTAAACGGAAGCAAATGTAGGGGACACGTTGCGAGTATGTATAACTCGGTGGCGATGATTCGTGAAAATCGACGCTCGAAAATCATCGACTGTTTCTCGTTCATTAACGTTTCATTTTCAACCGGGTGACTCGTCGGTCGTTATAAAGGACAAAGTTGACGAAGCACGGACAGATATTGAATTCCGTTTCTCTAATGCCGTTCGAAATATCCTTTTCAGGACAATGTACCGCAGCACTGGGTATGGAGAATGGCGAAATCCCCGATGAAGATATATCGGCCAGTTCTATGTACGATCCTAGCCTTGGCCCGAAGCATGCCAGGTAAGTGAACAATGATATCGTCGAAATACTCGATTACAGTTGAACAAGTCGACTATTCCGATCCGCTATGGGAGTTTCTTGTTTCATGGACTGATTCGATACACGTGAATCATCGAGTATGTCATTGTTCTCGTGTAACAGACTATTTTCCCTTAATCGATTATAGACCAACGTTGCATTAATCTGACATTTCAATTAAAATTTTTCTAGAATCAATTTCTATTTTTTATCAATATTAACGTTAAGAAATATTTAACACCTTCACTGTCACTGTAGTGAGAATTAAAATGATACATAAATTACTCTCAGTTATTATGAAACACACGGTATAATAGTTACGGTTGATTGCACTCGATTGTACAGTTTTACTGTAGATTGATACGAACGCGAAGGGCCTTGTTTAAAACTCGAACCGTTCGTCGAGGCGGAAAGTAAAGTGGATAACAATGAGAGTTCGTTAGCGATGTAATAAACCTTTCTCCCGTTTATGTTCTTACGAAGCTCGCGAAAGTGTTACGACTACTCGACAGTTTCAATATCAGCCTACTAAAACGACACTTGCGAATATCGGCTTTCAGGAAGTCGGTAAAGTGTGCTTTACGTCTGCCAATATTGCACATCTTTCCGTTTAATCCTTTGTAACCTACATTTCCTGTATTCGCGGAAAGAAACGATAAGGTATTGTACGTTGGTTTACATTAACAGGTTGATCGCCACGTCAGCCATACGTCAAGTGGAGTATGAAGAACAAAAGCTTTGAATTTACAAAAGAAATTTGATAAGTTATCTCGGTGTTACACGAATGACTTGGGAATTAATCAACAGCTCTTTGTGCTCGTACAATTAGCAAATTAAAGCTGCTCATTGTACGATTAGATACGCGTTCATTTACCAACGTTTAACCGGCCGCAAAATAAATCTGTCACGTTAAGTACGATAACACAGAGGTTCTTAGGCTCCGGCTGGCCCTTTAATCGCATCGAAATTCTTTTTATTTCGCCATCTGGGTCGCGTGACGCTTGCGAACGTTTCAACGGCATAGCTGGCTCGGTATTTACCGAGTTCACTAGGCGTGTTCGGTTTATTTCTTATTACAAGAGCGAGATTAAGATCGGTTAGCTACCCCGGGAGGGCAGTCGGAGTCTCGTGTTGTATTAAAATTTTAAATGGCACACGGCCTGGAAAGCAAGCTTGTAAAATTCTCTTATCCAGTGCTGGAACGAATATCGGATTACCTGCCGGCGGATGTGAACGAACAAAAAATGTAGCTTGTAAGTTGTTAATATCGAATTAATCGCGTATGTACGATAATAAGAAACGGGTAAAGCGGGGCGGTAAGCGAGTCGAGGCTCGCTTTTTATTTTCTCCACGACAATGGAAAGAAAAATCACGGGGCCAGATTAACCTTGATACACTCGGAGTGGAGCATGTCCGTCGTTTGTCAAAAAGAGGAATCGTCTTCCTGACGTTTTTACTAGCGATATTACGATCTTGATTCCGTGGCGAACGCCGGACGCTTGACAGCCAAATCGATTCGGCACATTTACGAAGCCGGGCAATTTATGAGGGTCGCTCGTAACGCGCCACGGAAATGACTGTTCGATGTCTGTTAATAATGCGTCTGTGATATCCTCGTTTCATGATATCGAAAGTAATGCTGAGAGAGGTACGCGAGTTGTGCTTTCTTTTTTTTCTTCTTTTCTTTTTTCATTCTTTATTTCTCGATAGCGAGCCATCGAACGGAAAGTTGAAACGTGTTCGGGTAAATGCAGCTTCGCATGAAATCGGGTTATAAATTTTGAACACCGAGTTAACTTACGGCGAAGTACTGTAATTGATATATAAAGGAAAAAGAAACATGAAATTGAAGTTGCTTCTAGCGGTGCATTCGAGTGTACTTGGATGCACGTGGAAAGTTAGTTTCGCTTATTCACTGTCATCCGTCATTGTCATCCGTTGCATATTTTCATCCATCTTCCTTTTTCGTGGTAAGAGAGTATAGGAAAGTATATTTGGAGTTAGTTTAGTTGTGTTCTAAAGTTATTTAAAAATTTTTATTATACGTCACGAATGTTAATTTGAGGAGATAATAATTTAAGGAAATATACTAAAGCATTATCTACATTAAACAATTAATTAGATAAGGATATTTCTACTGTGACAATGAACATGTTAATTTCAACTCCTTGTAACGTGGAACATTATCACTCGAACATGTCTGACCATGTACTGACCCACTCTACTTGAACTACATAGCGCCCCATTCTATTTGTCTGACCACCTACTATTCTCATTGAAGTTGTTTCAGTTTTATCACGTGTATGCGATTTGTCTGACTACATTCTACACTTGTACTGTTTGTCTGATTATGTACTTATCTATTCTACTTGTCTGTCCAAACACGAACACCGTAGAAAAGAGTTAAATTCTGGTACTTGTCATTTATTAGTAATAAAGCATTAATATTATATTAACTATGTAATGAAATAAGAGAAAGCTTAAATTAATATGTTGTGCTTGCATAATTAATATAATATTAATATTAACTGAATAATGTCCTTCAATTTTCTTTTTCTTTAGTTATTCTGAACTGTAATTATTGATTATAATAATCTAAACAGAATTTAATTTCAAACGCTTTGAATATCTCATCTAAATTCTGACATTTTGCCATTTAATTATGGCCAACCTGTTAGTAATTACTCGAGCAGAATACATCGTTCAATTAACTGCGTAAGTGAGAAGACAACTTATTTGCGGATTACCCTTTGGATTTATACACGATCGTTTTTGGCTAGTTGGAGAACATATATGTATATGATGGTGCAGGAGTCTGGTTCGATGTAACGGAGGATAGAATCGGGGGAACGAGTGGGTGTTGGTGGTGAAGGGGTGGGTGACGGAAGGTGAACTCGACCCCTACAAATTACCTCCAATTTCGTGTAAATTCCTCGTTCCTGCCTCAGCATAATACCTGAATTAGGACGGCCAGCTCCGGCTCTTAGGCGGCAATAAATCTGTATTAGGGCGAGGCGTTGCTCCTCTTAGCAAAAGGGGTGCAACGCCCCTGATGCCGGCTGATTTTTCACGACCACCCTTCGTCCATCTCTATGTCTGCAGCTTTGTACTTATCTCAAAAATCATCATCTTTTCAATTTTTCATCGTCACTAATCGAGTATTAGTTGACAAATCATTCACGATTTCCAGTTTAATTACGATAATTCAATTAACACCTTACGCGTGATTCAAGGCTTCAAAGAAATTTCCTCCCTTTTTTTTTCTCAAACGCGACCAGTTTTTTCATGTAAATCGTGCCTGAAACTTTAAGCAACCCGAGTACAACTCGAATCTGGCTTTTGTCTTTGGTAACAAACAGTGTCGCGTTCTGTTCGGCCGTTACAACTCTGACCCATATCCGGCTTTGTACGAGCTGGCTTTCTCGATTTTCCAACGTGAAATATGCAGTACATTTCCATCGCATTGTTACCGCACAAAGGTCCGGCAGCGTGGAAGCGACGTTTTTGTAATCGGTTAAAAAAAATGTTTATCGAAAGGACGCGTGAAAGGGGGATCGTGTTTGCCGTCCACTCGGCGTGTAAACCGAGTTTCACGCTGCGCTATCGCGGACCTCTGGAACACGCTCGACGTATCGCGCGGAATTCCACGGCAACGTTAATGGAACCGCGTCTCTGAAATTAATTCGACCTCTTTCTGTGTGTACCTTAATCTTTTGACTATTGCCGTACCGACGATCCTTTCCATTGATGAATTGTATCAAACAAAAAAAATATACACATCGAATTGAATATCCTCCTCCTTTTCGAAGTCGGATAATAAACCACGATTGTTCAGTTTGAAAATTGAAATACTAAATCTGTACGTTGTTGATGGTGAATAGTTTTTCAAATTAAACGATGCTTTTGAAAAGTGAAGGGTATTAATGCCTTTGCAGTTTCATATTTCATGGGATTAATGGATTTTGTAATTTTATATTCCTTTTTGTATCAAAAACGAGATTACCCAGGAAATTACTTTGGGAAGCTTGAATAAAGCACAATTTTCAAATTATAGTATGATGAATAGAAATAAATGGAAGAATGCTAGGGGCTGTGAGAAAAAGCAGAGAAGATTAAATCGTACAAGATCACCACGTACCGAGGAATGGAGGTCACGAATAATGGACTAACAAATTCGAATAGTTGATAGTAAAGTTACTGGACCAGGAAGATAGTTGCTCGCATAGTTACAGCTCCTTAGAATTCCAAACCAGCAAGTATGTACAAGGGATGGTCAGGTGACTTGCCTTCGTAGTAAAACTTTACATCCTTGCGTTCAGATCTCGGACACGTAGAAAATTGAATTACAGGTACAACGTCGAAGGAGGGAATAACAGAAAGGATAGCCTTGATACGATCTTATGAAATTCACGAAAGAAAACCAAGAACCCCATGCAATATTCTACAAATTTTAAACTTTAAACACGAATATCATTTAACCCGGGCTAGAGCAAAATTCACCCTCTGAAAATAAAAGAATTCACTTTTGAATTCCTTCACGCTGCTCTAGAAATGGTATGTCTCGTCTCGACAAAAGTACAGAGGTTATAGCAGACTCCAGCGTGATATAGAGGGGTGGTTAAAGGGTTTATGGCGTCAGGACAGTCGTTGTTAAAAAAGGTAGGATCGATAAGGAGAGAACTGAAGTAGAGGGGTGTCTATAGGTGGGAAAAAGAAAAAGTTTTCGTTTTCGTGGCCAGACTAGTGGCCATTCGTATCGCTTTAGAGGTGGCACGAAAAGGGGAAAGGCAGGGTGGTCGAATGGCGGTGTACGACAAAAGGGTGGCCTACAGGGTGAAAGAGAGAGATCACGGAAGCGTTAGAAGGAGGAGGAAGTAAAATCGGGGGGTTGAAGCTTCAAGCATGACAGGCCGAAATCTTCGACGTAGGGAACACGGAGTGAAAAGGCGGAATCACGCAGACATAAAACGTCCTACGCCGTT